CCAAAGCGGTTCGTGCCCGGCCGCAGCCCCGGCTCGTCTCCCCGTGCGCCAGCGGCGCAGTAATACACGGCCGCGTCGCCAAGCCGGGGCCGGGCGAGCCACAGGGAGCTGGAGCGGCGGTCTGCCGACACAAACACCTGCCCCTCCGGGTCCGGCACCTCCTTGGAACCTCTAACGGCGCTGACGAGGAATGCGGGTCCTCGGCCCGGGAGCTGGCGGTACCAGTGGATGTTATCGGCCTGTATGCTGGGGTGTGAGCAGGTGATGTTGATGCCGGTGCCCTCGCTGGTCTCTGCCGACGGCTCCTGCTGCACCTGAGCCCTGCTCACAGCCACTGCCGAGAAGAAAAGAAGCAGCACACTCAGACAATCCATTTTCTCACACAGCAATTTTATGAAGGATAAGAGAGGTGCAGGATGTCGGAAAGAAGCCGAATGTCCAGAGGCGAGCGCGGCCCCAGGTCCCCGCTGCCCCCGCGGTTCGTCCCCGCCGGCGGCAGCTCCGCGCACCCAGGAGCACCGCGGAGAGCCCCGCCAGCCCCGCGGCCCGGCACTGCCGCATCCCGCCGCTCCGCCCGAGGCGTCTCCTCCCCGCCGTCGGCGCGAGCTCCGCCCCGGAGAGGCTGCTCCGGGCTGCGAGTGCTGGGCGCTTGTGCGAGGTTAGCAGGGTTTGGGCTCTGCGTGTCCTGCAGCGTAGGCGGAGAGCTGAGGAACTGCTGCGAAAACCCCTTCAGTACAGGAGAAAGCAGCTGCTCGCCTTCAGTGTCCCCAGCGAGTGGGGCAAGCGGTATCACAGACGGGACTGGAATGGTCGGGGAGTGCAACGCGGCCGAGACCTGTTCCCCCCGCTGTGCCTGGTGATGCCGCAGATCCGAAACCCGGCAGCGGGAACGGGTCGTGTGCTGCTGCCCGGGAACGCGGCACCCCGAGAGCTCCCCGAGCTCCGGGTCCCGCAGGCTGCTGCCGCCCATGGTGCTGATGTCGCCCTCGAGGAGCCCGAGAAAGGATGGCAGCAGAGCTGGGTCAGGCGGCTGGGAATGTGCACCATCAGGCTTTGAGTGTGTGGCAGAAGCCTGAGAGGGAGCCTGGAGCCACGGTTGCAGATTCCCTGACAGTGTTCAACCGGATCCAAAGCGATGCCCGTATCTCAGACACATCCACCCGATAAAATCTCTTTTAGGGAGGATTCAGCCAATCCATCCCCACCCCCATCAGCCCACACACGGCCTGTGAGCAGTGACTCCAGCTGCATGTACTAAATGCCACATTTCTCTAGCTCTTGGCAGTACACCCGGGTGCTTATGGAAATAAAACCTGCCCCTGCCACATTTGGTTGGGATTCAAGATCTGCACCTGTTCCATTAGAGAATCACGGACCCCTCTTCTTGTAGTAGCACACAGCACATGGCGGGGACATCTTCAGCCCTAGTCTGACTCCAGCAGCTGGCACCAAAATCAGTCCTGCCATTCCCCCCAGTAACTGGTAATTTGTCCATCCAGTGTGTAGAGTTAAGAAAAGATTCATTAAGGAGACATGAGAGTCTGTGATGATCAATCACAAGGCTCAACCAGGTCTGAGGAGCCCCTGCTGCACACCACTCTGTCACTCCTCATATGTTCACCTCTTTCTCTGCATATCACAACATCAGATAGTATAGGTCTGTCTCACACCAACCCCCCATCCATGTCCGGATGCACAGCTGCATCTCCTG